AGCTTATAATGATACCAAAATGAGTATCTTCAGAAAGGAATAGCAAAAGAGTATACATATATGTGATCTCAATAAAGAATGCAAAACAAAATACGGAATAATGAAAAGCCCGAATCAATCAGAGAAAAATAGGGGCTACTTTAAGTAAGATAAGGATCCGAAGATAAGCAGACTGACAAAATAGCTATATTGTATTGAGGTGCCAAAAAGAAAGTTTTTAAACCAAATTATAAATAAGATAATTTGCTGAGATAGGAAACGAAATCGAATAGCATACATATATGGTTGTAATGCCATAGATAAAATATGCCAATTATGGTGGGTAAAAGTGGCAGATTCAGGCTGTGCATATTCATGGCTTAATATTACTCTATCCTTGTATCTGGAATTGTATATTTATAGATATATATAGAGTGAACCAAGAGCAACATAATTGGTATATATATATATATAACGATCATGCAACTAATTGCTGCTGCTATTGGTTCAAGTACTTTTGAAGCTTGTTGCTTTACCACACTTACTCTTCTCTTCTTTTTAGACTTTGATTTTATGGATCAAGCTCAACGCTGATTTTTTTAAAAGTAAATAAAAAGCAGCATTCATTGCATCCCGATATACGCCTCTAGTTCGGAATGATAGATGTTACAACACCATAATATCAAAATTCCAATTGGTCTGTCTAATTTCACGCAATGAGTTTAGATTATTAACTATACACGTTAGCACGCACATATATCATCATCAAATATCCTCATACACCAAGATCCCATAGTACACTTCTAAGCCTACCCATCGCCAGTGAGGCATTCCTCTATAATTTCCTTTGGCTTAAGTTCATTCGATAAATCATTGGGGTTCCTTAGTATTTTGGACAGCTACCTAACCCTGTTAACACTTATTACTATATAAAATAAGCCCATCTAAGTATAGCTTATGAATAATGTTCTGGCAGTCACAAAAACCTACTCAAAATGAAATACGAGTACAGCTTTTTGCATTTTAGCATAAAATTATATATTACTTTAGCCATTAGCTCTCGCAATTCTAAAACGATGGACATTTCAGGTCTAATGTTGGAAGTGAAGTGTCATGATGACGAGATTCTCTTGTGAGATCAAACTCAACTGCAGGGATAAGTTTAATTGAGGTCGTAACTAGGATATAAGAAGTCGTCAAAATAAAATATAAGCGGTAATTTGAAGATATAGTGCCACGATAAATTAAGAGGTTAGTATAGTGGGAGGCTAGTTTAAGTAGTTTATCAGTTACTTTAAGAAATATAAATTTAAGAAGTAAATACAGGAACTAAGCGCTGCTTACCCCACTCTCGATACAATTTAATCCCACGCTGATCTCGATCATCCTTCAATTCACGTTCTATCAGCTTAGCAATCGGTTGAAAAAGAGTTTCTATCATTTTCACTTCATGAGCGAACTTTACCCGCCTTGTTCCACAGTTGTCCCAAGCACTCAACATTTCCTCAAAGCTTGCCTCATCCATCTTCTTCTGGTTAATAAAATCCTGAAGCCATTTCTCGCATTCTTCATCTGATAATACCGTCATTGCCTTGAATACAAGGGAAATAGCAGAATATGATTCTATAAAATCGATTTTGGGCGTTAACTAGGCTGTGAAGTTTCTCATGAGAAAGAAAATAGAAATATAATTACACTGGAAAAAAATAATATATAAAAGTGGAAAGCATAAGGAATTGTACCACTAATATTTTAAACAATTTAGTTAAAAATAATTAAAAATTATAGAGAAGCAAAAAAGCTGGCGTCTAAAAAACGAAGTAACTAATTTACTTAAAATACTTTCTTATAATGCAACAAATAAATTAAAGCCTAATATACAACGTTATTAAATTAAGAGCTGGTTACAATGTAGCATAAGTCAAGCTTATACATCTAAAAGAGTGTATAGCCAAGTTAAACACATTTCTGAGCAAAAATAAAAACATGACAATGTATAAAAAATAAGTAGACAAAATTATAAAGCCTAAATAAGTAAGTTGGTATTATATTCGCAATTTACGTGAACTGGGCCAAATAGAGCCAACTAAAGTCAAAAAAGAGCTTACTTGAAGTTTTTAAATATTTAGTTTTTAGTTTATCTCTCTGTTCTCATTCTTTATACTCAGAGTGTACTCAAGTCACCGGTGGAGAAGTACAGTGTACACTAAAAGGGTCTTTGCAAGTGGCGCATAAAAAATTGGGGACGTGTTCTGTCAATGTTGGATAGCTTAGAAATAGAATGCAAACACATACATTATTCTTTTTAAAATATAAAATTAATTTTAAAAGTAGAAAACTTAATTTAGAATGGTTAGCCAGTGTCATATTAAATAAAGACGGAAACTTTACTTTAAAAAATAAAAATATCACCTTAAACTACATAAATTCTTAAATATTAAAAAGTTGTTATTGTATTGTCATATATATTTTACTTCGAAATATTGGCATTCAGAGACCTAATACATTAAGAAAAAATGGGGCTCTTAAAGACGAAAGCACATATAAAAACAAGCTGTGGCATTATAATCCATTTTTACACTAAATTCGTTTCAAAACATGGATTGCATATTGATTTAGAACTATATTTGTCATGAAACAAATAAGTTTGTTTAAGGAATGGCAGTTTAATGTTCTAGATAAGAAGAGAAACTGGGTTTCGATGAATCTCATGAGATAATATTATTAGGGGGACTCTTAGTTCGCATGAAAGTGAATAAAGAAGAGATTCGTTGGCCGATCTCATCAAATTATAACGGATGAATCTCGTTGTACTGCAGTCGCTTGGCTTTTATACGATATTCATTTTGACGCAGTCCACAAGACCTCCCTAGTTTCGGGTGAAAATGTGCTGAGCTTTCGTCCATCATATGATGGACATTATCAGAGCTAGGCTTCATTCTTGTAAGATTCTCACGTTAACACTAGGCCACGAACACTATCCGGCTCTATCCTACTTTTTATATAGACTCAATTGAGCTGAATGAAAATTAACAACTTAAATAAATCGATATAGAGTGGTTTGGTTAATTTTCTTTCATACTGGTCCTGTTATTTTTTCTCGATTGTATCAATATGTATATTTATGCGTGTTAGCGTCTATATGCAATACGGTTCCTAAATCAGAGTTGTCAAAATTTTAATCTCAGGCGCTGATCCTCAAGACCTAATGACCCCAGAGAAAGCCATGACTGTGATTGCGTAGGTCCGTAAACAAGTATGGTAGAGATAATGAAATATGAGCTTTGAAGCATGAAAATCAAGTTACGAAACTACTTGTCCTAACTTTTTACTTAAGGGTCAATAACGTTTAACCCTCGAAGAAAAGGCAAAACTGGAGTTGCGTAATCTGACATGTTTGGTTCGGTTGATGAGCTTACTCTAACAGTCTGGACGAATATGAACGGAGTCAGAACAATCACTGAGTAGACAAATTGAGTCGCCTTCTTTTTGACGGGGCTCAGCACCCTCTCTCTTTTAATCTATCAATAAAGCATAAGTAGTTCTTACTCAACTTTCTACCACCGCTCCTAAGCTATTAATTTCAATAGCCTCTCTTATCTTTCTTTTAACCACACACGTACCATAATCAGTAAACCTACTCGTTTGAGACCATTCTATTTCATAACCTGTTTCTACCCTATCTTCGGCCATTTATGACCATTGGATCCAGCTAGCTATGAAGAGCTTTTTTTGTTCTACCATTCTTTGTCGAATAAGTGACTTTTGTAGTCATCATTGCACATATTCGATTCAGCAAATAGCCTATTTGAACGGGTCCTTATTTCTATTTGGTTGAATAAGGGCTCTTCTTCAGAGTATTTAAGTATTTATTCATTACTTTTTAAAATTTAGTTACCATACATGATCATAGTAAGCATACAATTTTAGAATGGTTTCTAAGAGAAATGGCATAGTTTTTACAAACTCCCGAGGATGCAATACAATGGTCGAAATACCGTCAGTTAATCGTTAGTTTAAGTCCAGACCAGCGAAGAACAGAATCTACATTGGCCGCAATTTAATGTGAAAGTAAATTGAGAAGTCAGCAGCTAGTGCATAAAATTTACTTAAAAGGTTGATCAGAACAAAAGAAGTAATTTATTATATATATACAGTGAATGTTGGAAGAGGTGAGCTAAGAACCACTTAAAAGCTAGCGTAAACTTTGGCAATACGCTGTAGCACTAGAAATTATTAGGATCAGTAGTAGAATGCTGACTGGATTGTAGCAGGCTTCAAAAGATTTATTTTGTACGCGAAGAAGAATCGCTTGGCTTACAATTATTGGGTGCGCTGTCAAATAAATGAGAAAATATTAGGCATCTTAAAAAGTTATATAGGAAGATTATATTCTTGTTTATAAGGTGCCTTAATCTAACTGTTATCAAGGAGCTTAAAGAAATAAATTAGTTAATCGAAGGTATGAAGACCAAGATGGTGTGGCCTTTTGTATGGTCGCAGTTTCCTTTCGTTGTATAGTTGTTGTTTGACCTTGTTTTCGCAACATGGTCATATTGGTAGGACGACTTAGAGGAACGTACCTTGTTCGGAGTCCATTGTATGCATGATCATTTCCAAAGTTGAACCGTGGACGTGGTACATTCCCAAACGTTTCGCCGACATCGTCAGTGAGTCTCGCCATTCTTAGCACCATTCAACAACTCGTCAAAGAGACAAGTGAAGCCTATCCTTTGATCAAACGTGTGCTAAACAATTTTGCTATCTATCCTTCTGCCCTGGGTTATTCCCGTTTCCAGTAGCATCCTATCATGCCTTCAATATTACAATTGTTACCGTGTTTAATTAGATAGTGTGGTGTGCTCCTTTGAGAGACATGACACCTTCACAC